TATTTTACAAATAAAGTCTCCATAGAACAAAATTAGGTCTGTCATTATGCTGTCAACATGTCAGCACAGCTACTGTTGAGTTAAAAAATGCATTTCTGCAATATTTTAAACTTAAATAATATTTGTTTTAAATCGGATTAATTATACTTTAAATCAAATAATATTCCTCAATTACACTTTCAGAAAAATATATTTTATTTTTGAAAAAATTATATTTTGGGGGGGAAGAGAATTATATTGCAGTAAATGTGGGCTAAAAAATGGCGTTAAAGTAAAATGTTTTAGAAAAAAAAACTCCTTCCAGCCAATTTAAATTAGTTTTGAGATAGTGCAAAGTATTTGCTTATTGAAAATGTTAAATTTAATCTATTAGCTTGGAATTAAAACTAAAATAAAAAATTCAAGAAATAATTTTCTTTTTTCAAAATTCATTTTCAACCTTAGATCTTGCAAATATGTGGAGGTACCTCTCTCTCTCTCTCTTTCTCTCTGAATATACAGTTAAAAGTACTCGCATATTAAAGAAAGACCTTATAAAGTTTATAATTTTTAAAAACAAGAATCATAACATTCATTGAGTGATTTGTAGGTTAATGCACCTTTAAAATTTTGTTTGCGAAGGGACTTTGCCATTTTATATTGTTAACTTTACTAATCTACTTTTTGTATGAATGATTCATTGTAATATAAATTGAACTGCACCACATATTTGATTTTAAAGAACTGATCCGATGTGCAAATTTTTGGGATAACAACTGAGACATTACTCTATTTATTGAACAATTTAGTTCATGCCACATTAACTGATAAATTCCTACAACAAAAAAATTCTCAAATTACCAAATTAGTAAAAAAATGCACTCTCTTAAATTTTCAAAAAAATTCAAACTTAGTGTTGCGACTGCACGCTCCAAAAGTTTGTATCCGTTAACAATAACACATTTAAAAAAAAACATTTCGATACACATTTAATTTTTTCATCTCAGATGCTACCTGAATTTTACCAAAAACAAAATAATTTCCATGCTTGAAGATGACTGAATGTACAGCTGAAAGTACTTGCATATTAAAGAAAGACCTTATACAGTTTACAATTTTTAAAAACAAGGGTCATAACATTCATCGAGTGATTTATAGGTTAATGGGATTTTGCCATTTTATATCATTAACTTTACTAATCTACTTTTTGTATGAATGATTCATTGTAATATATATATGTGTCTGTGTGTATAATAAGGACAAAGATGTAGGCACATGCATCAAAAGTGGTAAGAGTAGGTTTTACTGTTCCAAAACAACTGCAACAAAAAGTGCTCCATGAACATAAAATCTAATTTAAGAAGTAAAATACTTGCTTAATTACTACTATAGTTTTGTCAACTTGGCTCATCATGCAGTAAGTGTCTGAAGACAACTACACACATACACACACAAATATATATATATATATATATACATATATATATATATATATATATAGTGAGAGAGAGAGAAAATTTTAAGGTATGCCATATTTATGGGTAAAAGTGCTCAATATTAGAGATAAAACCTATGTAAATATAAAAGTGCATATTAAATGCTGACAGAAAAGAAACCTCGTCCTGGTTTAAATCACTGTACAACAAAAATGTAAAAACAAATGTAGGAAAAATATTCATTGAACGCATGCACAAACACTCTCCACAAGATATTCAACAGGAGCACAGTGTTGTGAACAAGAGAAGAGGACAATATGGTGGACACTGTGTTGCTACCACCACTCCCACAGAGGGAGCTACCCATATTTGAACATGCAAATTGATTCTCAGGATGCTGTTAACAGAGAATTCTGATTAGATATTTGGAAAAGCCTAGAACCCTAGATTGCATCAGATCCTACACCGATGTTGGACGAGGGTCAATAAAAGCATTAAATTAGTGGGAGTAGCAGTTGAGGCAGAGACATGCTTCCATTATGCCAAGAGGAGGCAATCACTTTGCCAATCCCCATGTGATTTGCTGCTCCTGACTCATACCTTGTTCCAGACTATTAAATTGAGCAGAGTACCACTGATGAAATTGCAAGGTGGAAATTTGAAAGTCTCTATATAATGACAGACAGTGAGAAAGTGAAGGAGACAAGTACTTCATCAATATTCTGTAATTTACTGCCTGAAGAAGTCTCTTACTTAAAATTTGAAACCTCAACTATGACTTGGAAACAAAGAACAAAGTGTCACGGAATTAGACTCCGAGGGAATGGTCATTAGCCTGCATGCTTACAGATTCTTATACGAAAAAGTGTTCCTGTATAACTCACAGTTATATAAACCTTGTTGATTTACACAACTTTGTATTTTTTTTGTCTTATAACATTGTTTCGCTTGAATGACACCAATCCAGCAATATCTGGCAATGACTTGAGCCTTGCCTGCCTTGTGATCAAAACAAGCACAACGTGGTAGAGGCTTGGAATGAAGTGACCAACTTCACAGTTAACCACAAGATTCAATCATGGACACATCAGTGACCAAGGACAGGACAGCATTCTCATGTAGTGCAGGGGCCAGGACTTCCCATAGCATTATATATATATATATATATATATATATATATATATATATATATATATATAGTTGATTGATGTTTTGTGACCCTGAGTTTCATGCTTTTATCATCAGACAAACTTTGTCTGACGATCGCAAACGCATGAAACTCAGTGTCACAAACTCACATCAATCCAAATAAATGTTAACTCCATCACTGATATTGAGCGCTTTCCAATAAGTATCATGCATATATATATATATATATATATATATATATATATATATAATTATTGATTTAAAAATATGATTCCAACTCGCGACATAAGAGGTCTCATGTTTCAAAACAAGAGCCGAAAACTTCAATATAATTATTTGAATTAAATTGAATTAAAGTAAGCTCTGTTCCATCTTCAAGCGAAATTTTTTTTTTGGAATAACTTATTTCTGAAATTTACGTGTTTTAATAGTATATTCATAATTGAAATCAAAATTTCCATGTTAACAGCCAGGGCGAATTGTTTAAAATAGGTAGGGGTGTGTTGGGTGTTAATAATAAGTATCAGTATAGAGTTACTTTCATAGATGTCAAGTCAGGGTAAGGTGGAGGTGTCTAAATTTGAAACGGAAGATGTTTTCGCCTAGTCTGGTTTACGTATCTATGGAGATTTATTTATTTTTTTATTTTATTTCTTTATGAAAGGGATTTGTGCATATAAAAACTGCCGTAACATTTGTTTTTAGATGACTTCATAAAGGGTTATCTTTTTTTGTAGGGTATTTAAACTATTTATATGGGCTATGGATTATAAAAGTTATTATATTGTATGCTTGTTTTTAGCTAATTATTCAGTGCATAAATTTGATGATGTCGGCAAAAAACCGTTAACTCATGTCTATTATTTAATAGATTTTTATTATTTAGAAACTTAATAATGTGCAGTTTCTCATGGAGACACAAAGAGCATGGGTCATCCCAAGCTTTACAAGTTCTAGTCCTATTTATAATTTTCCATTTTATTTTAGGTGTCCTATTTATTTCCTTCAGATGCCAAAAATATTTAGATAGGGAAGTCTGATTTCTTTTATTTATATTGTTGAAAGAGCACTTATGCTGCCTCTATCTGGCTTTAAAATCATTCTTCGTGGATCCAATGTATATCATATAGCATTAGGACTCTCAGTGGATGATATAGTACATTGGTATACCACAGATTTGATGCAGCATTTATTTTCTAATGGGCAGTCTTCTGGGTTTCTACAATCACATAATTTTTCACTGTTATTGTCCGATTTAAGTGTAGGGTTCTTATTAATACTATTCAGGCATGGGGTTTTTTTCAAGATTTTATTATTGTGTTTTTTTATTATACCTTCTAGATTTTCAGTGCAGCTGTAACTCAATTTTAGGGTGTTCTTATTAAATATATTACTAAGCCTACTATTGGTGGGGAAGTGTTTATCAATTAGAGCTAAGAATTTCTGTCCTAGTTTAATACTAACCATTTGGTTGAACGGAGGGGTATATCAAATGATTTTTCTTTTCCTGTTTTTTTTTCTTTTGGCCAGTGCAATTGTCTCTATAGTTAATGTTTGCATTTTTATAACCACTATTTTTTAGGGCAGTGTTATAGAAGCCATTGTGTTGTAGGAATATTTCCTTGTTAGCGGAGTTTATGCTAATTCTATTTTCTATTGATGAGGGTATATGTTTAATTATGGATGGAGGGTGGTTAGACTTCGGGTGTATGCTCTACTTTTGTATCGAGCACTATTTTTTAAAAATAATAACAAAAATACTAAGGAACTTTGGATTATTTACCTAACCAGTTCTTTCCTACTATTTTCTATATATTTTCACACACACACACACACACACACACACATATATATATATATATTTATATAAGTTTTGTACCACAGAATTTATAGATTGTTTTAAAAATGATAGCGCATATTATTTTAAAAAAACATTTTTTTGTCTTCAGAAAGACTTGTTGGAAAAACAAAAACAAAAGAAACATGCAAAATATATATATAGAGAGAGAAAGAGAGAGAGAATTAATATAAGTAAAAGGTTTGTCACTTAGCTGATTGATGTTATATTCAGCATCCTGACTCCAAAGTTTTGTAGACAGACCTGTTGATCCACTCGTCAGGGGATATCAGCAATTGACTGCTTATACTTCTTGATTTTTCTTTTTTGTATGCACTTATCATTGGTTGGAGTTTTTTTCATAGTATGCGTGCGTTCATTGGTACCCATGCATCCAAGTGTATGTTCGCACACATACGCCCATCTATATAAATGTGCATACGTGTAGAGCATTGTGGTTATTTGTCCTTTTCTTTTTCTCCACTTTACACTCACTTCTTAGCCTTTTTTTCTCTATTTTTTCTTTTTCCTTTCAATTGTAGCCATTTGTTGGTATTTGATTATATATAATCTTAATATCTTTTTCTTTTGTTTTACAGGTGGATTAAAAATTTGGGAATGTGCTGTTGACTTAGCAAAATTTATCAACACTAAAAGTTTCACATCAAAAACAATTGCTGAAGTGAGTAAAATTTTTTCTTTAATTTTTGGGGTTTGTTTTTATTTGCCTAAGTTTAGTTTCATGTGAGATGTGAAGAACAAAACTGATTTGTAAGATAAGCTTGCCAATTATCACACCATGGTGCTCTGTTTGGCACAAGGCCAAAGTAGCAAAGTGAACACTGGACTCACTACACTAATGAATTTATGTACAAGATAAACTTGCTAAAAGAAGTACTATTCGATGGTGCACTGCTGTAATTATTTGCTATTATTGGTGTAGTATGGCACTAAATGTTGGACTGCCCTGTGAGGATTAGAATCGCTATATGAACAAATGGGTTTGCAAGGCAAGATTGCTAATCATAATATTTTTTTCTAGATCTCAGTTGAGATCATAGAATCCATAGCCCCTCATCATGGTTAATTGTAATTTCCATAAACTTTTTAAAGGCTGTATAACCAGTTTTGAATTCAGAGTTGTTCTCCTGGAATTGTTGACATCAGAACAATTAGCGTAAAAATAGATTCTTTTTTTTTTTTTTTCACTCAATACAAAGCCCAAGAGCCACTCAAGGTAGAGGTTTACTGTGTGAACTTTATTAATATAAGAAAGAACAAGCGTTATGAGTACAGAGCTGAAGCAGACTTTAGAAGGAACTGGAAACCTAATCCTGAACAGGAAAGAAGGGATAAACCTCTACTCTGGTCAAAAAACTGGGGAGGAGTGTGAACTGGATGATAAGTGAACCTATCTACTCTTATTGGTGGAGGGGAGAAAAAACTGAAATAAATAATGAATAAAAATTCAGAGTTGATGAATTCATATATAGAATTTAAAGTTGCCTGTTGGTGTATGGTTGGTGGGGTGTATGTTCACATATAAACAATTAATATAGAAGTAACAAAAACTTTGGTTTCTACTACAGACTGTTTAGTTTTTTTTCTTATATAAACTGTAGAGAAACAACATTATCAATGTCTCTTGAGTATGAATATTTTCTTTTTTGGATTCAGAATTAAGTTAGTCAGTAAAGATAAGAATGGTTAAAATGATTGCGCTCAAGTCAACTTTGTGCAGAGTTGGAACCTCCAAAGTTCTTACTTAATGGGTGAAGCTGAAAAACATATCTGAATGCTATGCATTGGAAAGTAAAAAAAAAGAGTGGTTCTGTCCTTTCTGGAAGGGAGATCATAAAATTGTCCCAATAACCAAAAACCCTTTTCAGTTCCATTATTACTAGCATCATGGGAAAATGTATTTTTTTTTTTTTTTTATTCTTTATTAATAATTTATTTACTGATTTTATTTCATTTTACCACACATACATTTAACCAAAGGTATTTGTGTGAAAGTGAATGCAACAAACTCAACTTGCTGATTTCTTTCTGGGCTGCTAACCATAATCAAACATCCAATCATAATATAGCAGGTGCTCAGACTAAACTTTGTTTTGCCTGGCACAAGGCCACAATAGCAGGGTTCTCAGTGAAGATTAGATTCTCTGTACTAACAAATTATCCTACTAGATAAAATTGGTAAACATCTGCTAGGCCCTCCATTGATTTTTTTTCTATACTTTTCATCTAATATGAGCCTCAAGAACCACTCAAGGTAGAGGTTACTGTTAAAATGTAATGATGGATAAGATGTGTGATATAAATGAAAGAGGAGGTAAAAGGAAATGAATATTATGAGAATAATTTTTGTTATTGTTGTTTTTCTCTACTTCTCTGTATTACTTGTTCCCATATTCATGTCTATGCTTGGTCGGCTTAGAAAGTTTTTGTGGCCTAGAATATATGTTGATTCCTTAAGTTTTTCATATTTTCCAGTGATCTTCTCTGTCTATTATTTCAACTTCATCCTACAGAGGGCAGTGTTCTCCCCTTTTCTTTTATATGTGGTCAGCCATGCCTGATTTTCTATTTCCTCTTACAGCCTTTTGGTGTTTCAGCAGTTTCCTAAGGAGGATAGATAATGATTGACCTTTGACTTGAAGAGGTTGAGATTGTAGCATTTAGGGAATCATCTATACCAGGAATCTGTTCCACAAAAAAGCAGGTCTTGGGTAAAAGCTGAATGAAACTTTCTCTTTACAGTTGGAATATGGAGGAAATGAGGGTGATTTGACTCTGTGGAAGTAGCATGGTGTGTCCTAGTTGTAAATGTTTGAACTGGTGGAACTAAAGAATGAAGCATTCATCTGGACATTTGCCATAGAAACAGCTTGCAATGTTGCATCTGTGCGGAAAGAGGTTACAGAGTGGGAAATAAGTCTTTGCCTTTAAGACCACGTAAACAATTTGAACTCTATCAGGACTGGAAAGTAAGGATTGGGCAGCTCCATCCTAGATATAGATCCAATGCACCATTTTTGCTCTAATTTGTAATGGACAAATGGGTAAGAAATAATAAGAGAAAAATATTCCTCCTTTGACACCAGTTCCATTGTGGAGAACATGCAGTTAGAAATTTTTCCTTATAAAAATTCTTGTAATTTGGAAATTATTTCTCCTTGAACTTAAATTTGAATATTTCATCTTGGTTAGTTTTACATAGTTTAAGATTCTCTATATAAATATTAACAGATTAATTTTACACTACATACTTAATTAATTCTATACATCATGTTTATTTTTGATTCAAGGGTTATTCTCATTTGAATTAACTGCCTTTAAAAGTTGACTGTTGTAAGTTATAAAATGTTTTTTAACCAAATATTCATCCAGTACAAGAGCCACTCAAGGTAGAGGGGTACTGAGTGGTGTTGTTGTATGGATGCAAGAGGAAGAAGTAAATGTAGATTATGAGGATATGTAGGATAGATAATGGTTGACAATAGGCTTGAAGAGGTTAAGATTGTAGTGATCAGGGAAACATCCTCTTGGGAGTCTGTTCCACAAAGTAGCAGTTGACAGGAAAAAGCTGTCTGAGTGGAACTTCTTTATTACCAATGGAATATGAAAGGAACGAGAATGATTTGGTCCTCCTGTAGAGCTTTGGCGCTAATAGAACTAAAGACTGTAAATCATTTGAATATTTGCCATGAAAGTAGCAATAGGTTTGCAGTGATTTGTTTTTCATAAAAGGTCTGGAATGTGAAGACTGGACAACTCCAGCCCAGATATACCAACATTACTCTATCAGCAATATTGAAGGGATTTTCTTCTTACTTGTTGGGTTACTGCCAACAAAGATGGATAGAAAATTCAGCAGAACTGTAATCAATGATGAGCAGGGCACAGACAACACTTCCACATAGGAACACCATATGTACAGGATGAATGCAGCTAGGGCACAGACAGCACTTCCACATAGGAACACCATATGTACAGGATGAATGCAGCTAGGGCACAGACAGCACTTCCACATAGGAACACCATATGTACAGGATGAATGCAGCTAGGGCACAGACAGACAGGGCACAGACAACACTATGTACAGGATGAATGCAGCTAGGGCACAGACAGCACTTCCACATAGGAACACCATATGTACAGGATGAATGCAGCTAGGGCACAGACAGCACTTCCACATAGGAACACCATATGTACAGGATGAATGCAGCTAGGGCACAGACAGCACTTCCACATAGGAACACCATATGTATAGGATGAATGCAGCTAGGGGCACAGACAGCACTTCCACATGAGGAACACCATATGTATAGGGATGAATGCAGCTAGGGCACAGACAGCACTTCCACATAGGAACACCATATGTACAGGATGAATGCAGCTAGGGCACAGACAGCACTTCCACATAGGAACACCATATGTACAGGATGAATGCAGCTAGGGCACAGACAGCACTTCCACATAGGAACACCATATGTACAGGATGAATGCAGCTAGGGCACAGACAGCACTTCCACATAGGAACACCATATGTACAGGATGAATGCAGCTAGGGCACAGACAGCACTTCCACATAGGAACACCATATGTACAGGATGAATGCAGCTAGGGCACAGACAGCACTTCCACATAGGAACACCATATGTACAGGATGAATGCAGCTAGGGCACAGACAGCACTTCCACATAGGAACACCATATGTACAGGATGAATGCAGCTAGGGCACAGACAGCACTTCCACATAGGAACACCATATGTACAGGATGAATGCAGCTAGGGCACAGACAGCACTTCCACATAGGAACACCATATGTACAGGATGAATGCAGCTAGGGCACAGACAGCACTTCCACATAGGAACACCATATGTACAGGATGAATGCAGCTAGGGCACAGACAGCACTTCACTATGTACAGGATGAATCACAGACAGCACTTCCACATAGGAACACCATATGTACAGGATGAATGCAGCTAGGGGCACAGACAACACTTCCACATAGGAACACCATATGTACAGGATGAATGCAGCTAGGGCACAGACAGCACTTCCACATAGGAACACCATATGTACAGGATGAATGCAGCTAGGGCACAGACAGCACTTCCACATAGGAACACCATATGTACAGGATGAATGCAGCTAGGGGGCACAGACAGCACTTCCACATAGGAACACCATATGTACAGGATGAATGCAGCTAGGACACAGACAGCACTTCCACATAGGAACACCATATGTACAGGATGAATGCAGCTAGGGCACAGACAGCACTTCCACATAGGAACACCATATGTACAGGATGAATGCAGCTAGGGCACAGACAGCACTTCCACATAGGAACACCATATGTACAGGATGAATGCAGCTAGGGCACAGACAACACTTCCACATAGGAACAGGATGAATGCAGATGAGACACCTGAACCACAAACAAAGACAAATAAATCTGAAATGACACTAACATAAATCCTTGGTAATGCACAGCAATCCTGTTGTGCAGTCAATGCAGTGTACTGCCAAGTCCTACTTTTTCCTAGAAAATGTGCTTGCCTTTATGGAGCCTAAAATTTTTAGTGGTTGGCTAGCAAAAGGAATCATTTACATAGCTAACACTACTCAGCTCACCATCTCGACTATCTCATAGGGAAACTGGTTAACACTTTCTTTCTTCATAACAAGATGTTCCAGGGTCCACACTGGCTCAGTTCTGGCATGGCAGAGACAACATATTAAACATTGTCTATTTGACCGATGAGGGTGATGGGGTAACATTATCAGTAGTGACTGGCTGCTTCATATGTATTTCATTTCTGCTACAGTCTTGTAAAGAGAGAGTGTGATGGGGGAGGCATTCTTCCAATATCTTTAACAATGAATTGTATATATGAGTTTCACATGAGTCCCAAGACAATCTGTAACAATCAATGTAACAATCTGCTAAATGATTTTTTTTCAGTTGGGTTGTGGTGGAGGTTTGCCAGGATTGTGTGCTCTCAAGAATGGGGCAAAATGTGTTTTATTCCAAGATTTTGTAAGTAAGAAATATTATTACTTCATGTAAAATGTATGTCTTTGAAAATTTTTTTATTATTGTTACATTTTAGACTATTTTGTTTTATATCTTACATTGAGCTTTTTCATTGGCACATTTTTTGCATATATATATATATATATATATATATATATATATATATATATATATATATATATATATATATATATTATAATTTATTTCAGCAAGTAAATGGTACCACACTTGAACATGGGGTTGACAGCTGCCTCTCCTCCACCACCCATGTCTTCAAGAATATAAATCCCCAGAAAAAAGATTTTCTAGGTCAAGTGTTTAGACTTCCTGTTATGTGTTTTTTTTTAAATATTGTCTGGATAAATTTAAACCATTTTGTAAAATTAAACCATTTGTAATTTTGGTCTGATGAAACAAGTATTAAAAACTTACTTGCTAAAATAAATTATAATTTATAACCGTGTTTTCAATGATACATTAAGTTTTTCCTTGATGTATATCATATTGTTATATATACTATATATTGAGCTCTCTTTATGGATCCATCTTTTTAATATTTTATATCAAAAAGACCTACTTGGATTATCCTTTCCACTTACGGACATGTCTCATTAAATAATTTAGAAAACTTTTGTCTACTTATTTTTAATAGGATCTTCTCATAATTACAAACAAGTTTCTTAGTATCCTTATTAAAGGAAGACTGAAAATTACCATATTGATACATATTCATTTTATTCTGAGTACTTTCGACATTAGCAGTTTAAAATATCTAGGTTTTAACTAATAGTTTTAAATAGTTTTTTTCTTTTTTAAAAATATTTAGATATTAAAATAACTAACTTCCCTTGACATTTGCACATTTACCTACATGATAAAATTTAAAATTGTACAGTACATAACCTTAACATTTTTTCACTTCACATGTAAAAAATTTAATTATTAGATGAACCCAACAATTTTGTCTTAGAAAAAAAACAAGACCTGATGACAACAGTTTGCTAATATTGAAAGTACTCAGTATAAAATGAATATGCATCAATATGGTAATTTTCAGTCTTCCTTTAATAAGGATACTAAGAAACTTAGTTATTCATAATTACAAGAGGATCCTATTAAAAATAAGTAGACAAAACTTGTTTAAATTATTTAATGAGACATGTCTTAATAACAACATACTGCCAAAATATATACACACACACACATATATATATATATGGATATGTAATGGCCTGAAAGTTGTGTTTAAGTATGAAACAGAATGTCACTGCTGGGTGTTGACCTCAATGTCTACTATTATATTTGCATATGCTCTATCTCTGATATTGAACACTTTAACTCATAAATATAGCATACCTCAAAACTATATTTTCTTTTTGCACGACGAGTACCTGATGAAGGCCAGAGGGCATAACAGCCAAAATGTGATAACAACAACAAAGATGAGGACAATAGTCCACTTCAGAAATTCAAACAGAAATCATTTTGAGTTGTTCATAGAAACTGACAGTTTTATTTACAACATTGATTCTTTTTCCTGCTATTGAGAAAATCACAAAAATATGACTTTGTCAAGTTCTTTAATCTTTCATTGTTTTCATACATTGCTTGACAAATTTCTCAGTTTTGCTTACTTAAAGGTGGACATTGTTTTACTATTGTGCAATCTTTGTTACTTTTTCACCATGATGCTGATGTAAAATCTCAATTTTCTGTCTGATTACCAACACTGTTAACTTTACTCACTTTCTCTTCATAATTATGGGAAGAGAAATAGACTCCATTTGCAACAAATTACATACTCAGAATAAAGGTGTAGAGTGTATAAAGACACAGATTTTGATATACTTTTATGTCATTCAGTGGCACTACTTAAATGAACTGGTCATCTTGTTTGATTTAAAAGTGGGGGTCCTATTTAAAATATTGAAACAGTGTCAAATCGATCCCTGACTTTTATTTACAAATGTCTCATCCTGAGTATAACAATAAACTACATCTGGCAGAAGGGCCTGTGATTGGGAGAATGGAGGTTTTGAGGAGTATGGAACCACGTCTTAATTGCTGTTGTCCCAGGCCTACCCTGACCTGGGGGTGGTAGCACCTGTTAGGGTCCCAGCAATGGGCAAATAATGAACCCCCAAACAAAAATAATAAAATGACCAACAGTACATTTTCTAAGATGACAATGAATGCAACACAAAAAAATATAAAAATACATTTTTATAGTAAAATTGCCAAACAATACATTTTATGATCTACAAAATACATATATAAAAAAAAAATATACCTTTACTCTGAAAGTATAAAATTATGTACAAAATATCTGTGGTTAAAATCATAAAATTACGAACGAAATATTTAAATTTTGGCATTGAATAACAGAGGTTGATAGGCTGCTAAATAAAATCAATCAATCAACTAACCAACAATACCTATTTATAGTAAAATGACCAACAGTACATATTTAAAGCAAAATTATCAACAGAACATTTTATCTGTAGTTAAAGACATAGACTTGCATTCAAAATATATTTAGTTGAACCATAAAACTATGTACAAAATATTTAGATTTCAGCATTAAATAACCCATAGAGATGTTGATATGCTGTCAAACAAAATCAACCAGCCAAATGTCATGTCCTGAAAACATGCTTATGTCATTAATATCTGCAGATTTTTATACTTTTTTAATTTTAATTTATGTACATTTTTGTTCTTTAATTTTAATTAAAGATTAAAAATGTACATGTTGCACTACTTTTAAAATGTGTACAACTGTTCTTTAATGACAAAAAATCTTTTTGTAAAAAATGAGAAAAAAATATTTGCCAAATAAATTTCTTGCTTAAAACATTTTCTTAAAATAAAACAAATAAAAATTTGCATATTCTTTATTTAAAAAAAATTATTTTGTAAAATTAAAAAAAGGCTGTTTTCATATACATATATTAAATGATGTTATCACAATTTCAAATTTGACATTTATATTGCTTATTTGCTTTGTTTTTCATAGGTTATCTCCCCTTGACATTTTTAGACAAACTGTGACTTTCCAATAATTCTATAAAAGTCAGAGGTCAATTTTACACTATATCAATATTATAAATAGGACCCTCACTTCTAAAGTCATAAAAAATATTTTCCTATTCTGACAAGTAGCATTCTTTTTTTGACTTTCCTTTGTACCACAATTGAGAAGGTAGGAGACTATGTTGCAAACTAGATTTGGAATCCTAAGTCTTTTGCGTTTATTTTGGTCTGCTGTGTTTTTGTACTGTTAAAGAACATTTATTCATTTGGGGTCGGGTAGCTGTCTACCACCCCAAATGAGGCTCTGCCCTTTGGCATAGCCTCGTCTGGGTTACTCTCTGCCCAAAGGCAGAGAGTTCGACTAGCTTAGGTGGAGACGAATCACCAACTAATTACCGAATCAATAGTGATTTTCTAAGCCCGGCTTAGATGTGGCACAATGCCGAAAGTATGGGTCACCCAGTGAGGATCGAACTCACTACTCAGTCGTAATTGATCTAGCAAGACAAGCTTTCTAACCATTAGACCATGTTGAGGTGCCCTAAGTCCAAGTTAGTGTCACAGCAATTTAAATAATATCTAATGGCCCGATCTACCCTGAGCAGAAGGGGATGCAAGTCTATGCTCCTGCTGCTGCCACTGCTGATAGGAACAGTTCATTAAGCTTTTATAACTGGTTATATCAGTTACAGTAAACAATAGTTAACAGGTGACATTACTGAATATGTTTTAATTTTTTCATTTCAGTTTAACTTTTCATTATTTTCTTTCCCTTTTTTTAATCATATTTGATTTTTGTTGCTTTTTTACTACTTTTTTAACTTCTTTATTAAAATTTTTTTCATCTGAATTCATTTTTTTAAAGATTTTTACTTCTATATAACAACATATTTTTTACAGAATGCTGAAGTTCTGACAAATTTGACAATTCCAAATGTTTTACTCAACTGTGAAGAAAACAAAGAACAGTGTGCCTTTTTTAGTGGTGACTGGAAAAATCTTCCCTCAGCTTTACAGAAATCAGAAACTGTGGCTCAAAAGTAAGGTTTGGTTTTAGTTTTACAGCTTATCAACCTCAATGGGTTGCTTAATGCCGACAAGATTTTTATTGCTGGCAATATTTTTTTCCTTCAAAAATGTATTGCTGGTTATATATTTTTCTTCAAAAATGTATTGCTGGCAATAATGTATTGCTGGTAATAATTATTTACAAAAAATGTATTGCTGGTATTGAAACCTATTTTTACACTTTCATAGTGTTTTGACTCCACTTTGGGGATTAACTAATTGCCTATAGGGGGTACCCTAACAGGTGCTACCACCCCAAATCAGGGTGAACCTGGGAACACCAGCAATTAAGAGGAGTTTCACACTCCTCAAAACCTCCTGATCAGAGGCTTTGCTGTTGGACGTAGTTTATCATCTTACTGACAGTGGATGTAGTCTTACCCAGGATGCTCAAAAGTAAGAATTCTAACAACAGATATTATCTTTGATTACATTGTACTAAGGGGCTTACTGAATACGGTCTTTTAATGAAAATATTTAGAAGATGTACTAAAAAAGAATTTAAATTTAGTCAGGGTATAAATAAGGCTGTAAATAAAGAGAAAACATTTGTTTTATTGGACGTTGCCTCAACATATTAATATTTACACTATTTGCACTCAAACTGTTCTCGTCATCTTTGTTGTTATTATCATAATGTTTCAGGTGCTTGTCAGTTCTGCTAATCTTCAGGAAATGTTAAACTAAACCCTTTATTTAATATATAGGAGTAGATTGTTCTTCCTCCAATGATTATGTCCAGGGTTTTTTTGTCTTGTTCATATTTAGTACTGCTCAGTTACTGCTCACTCTGTTTCTACTGAATTTAAGTCTGCACTACCTAATCTAGGGATTGAACTCACAATTACTATGTTCCCAAATATATAAACCAATACATCTGCTTGTCTCATTTAAGGCAAGTGGGGTAGGACAATAGGGTTCCTGTAGATTCCTTATTTAAGAAATTTATATTTTACATTCCAAAGGTGCACCAAACACTTCCTTGGCTGCAGATTTTTTAATATAAACTGAAATTTTGTCTTTTAAAACATTAACAGTAACAAGATTCTAGAATCAAATTTTTATTATAATTTTTATCTTATTTCTATCTTTTTGCTCTTGTTTTCTTACACTCAAAAATCTAAATGATTACTCACTCTTCTAAAATTGTCACTTATATCTCATTGCTTAACTGAAACATGGTGTAATTGTTGTGTATGATACACCTAATTTACATAAGCGGACTACCGACCATATAAATATGGGTTGGTACCGGAAGACGGGGAAGATAGTAGAGATTAAGAAATTGAATCCAGAGACTCTGCCCGAGTGCGATTTAGTCAACCCATTATGCAGGAACAGTCTTCCCAAGAATATACCAAACTAACTGTAAATATTGTGTACCTATTCTTTGTTTCAATACATTTTGTTAACGTACATTTTGTGTTGTATTATTCCATGCTTATTTAAGCTTCAACAGTAATGATTGTAGAAATGATGAGGGAATGACTGTTTATGAGAATGTTTGTAAGATATATCCACCCTTTGCCTATCATCAAATTCATAAGAGATGACAAAAGCATGACATAATTTGTTAAGTAATTCTTCTTAGAATTAAATGTCTCTGCCATACACAATGCCAGTCCCCCTTTGGAAAGGTGTAGCAACTATCTTGATGAGAATTTGAGAAAAACTGTGTAAAAACACAGAAAAAAAAATGTTGTACTTCATGACCAAAAAAATAGAAAGAAAAGTTTGTAGTGTTTTTTAATAGGCATTGTTTGATTTCGTTTCACATGTGACTGAAATTTATTTGAATACATACAACATTTCAATATGTTTCTCAATACAATTCATGTGTAGATTGTGTATTTTAAATGTTATTATATATTAAAAGTGAAATTAGAGGAAAAATGGGATTCATTTTCATCATTTGATGCTCTTTTATTTCCAGAAAGGAAAAAAATAGAAATGCTGCACAAACACCAAAAAAGATATGTGCCATTTATGAAGATGGTGCCATAGCCGAGAGTACTGTTTTTAAATAGTTTGCTATATTCACAAATGGAAAATTTGATCTGGAAGTGTGAGAATGTTCTATCAGACCTGCAGTCATTGGTGATGACAAACTAAAACACTGATGACAAATAATCCCAGTCAAATGACATGGATCATTGTTGAGTTACTCCATTGTCTGATATGAACATTGTAATACATATGAGAATCACTATGATGTTCGGGTGCCACACAATTGAATAGAAAAAAAATTTATATCTGTGAAAAAGTTGAATATCAGTATTTCAGCACTGGTCACATATCAATGAAACAATTTGTTATCTTTGTAACTAAAAAATTGCTAGGAAAAAAATTTTAAAAGAACATGTTAATGATATGTGACCACAAAGTATCGGGACAAAACATTATGGTTCTGATATTCTTATCAGGGTATTTGAATATTTTGCTTCATCTCAGTCATTATATAACAAACTTCAGGGTGATTTTAAGTTACCCAATGTAGAAACATTAGCAGCTTTGGCATCAAAATTAGATGGCTTTAATTTTCTTGGTGATATTTTTAGTAAAATTTCTGAAAATCAGAAAAAGTGTATTCTTTTAGTTGATGACATGTATGCCAAAGTTTCTCCATAATATTGTGACAGAAATTTATTTGGTTTGGCTGAAAATTCTGAGGCATTACCAAAAACAGTATTGGGCATCATGGTAAAATGTTTAAATGGTGGACCAAAAATTTTACTTAAAATGATCCCAGTCACAAAATTAAATGCAACTTTTTCATATGAAAAAATGTTATATGTTGTTGATGCAGTGAAACAGGACCCATCAATCTTATTTCAAACAATTTGATACTATTTTTAATAAACCCTGTATAACTAAAAATGGCTTGTACTTTTGATTATATCCACTTTTTAAAAATATTTGGAATAATTGTATTACTAAGCCTACTTCTGAATTACTTTTTATTCTAAAGGCAAAAAAAATGACAGCAAAATGGGAAATTATAAAATGTCCTTTTGAGTATGAAAAAAACTCAATTTGTTAAGCTGTTGAGACTAACTAATGTAGCAATTTACACAAAACCTGTTGAGTGACAAAATGTTTCCCATTGTTTAAGAGATTTTTGTGATCAAACTGTAGCTGCCATTAAAACACACCCAGGATGCTGCAGAAGCAGTTAATTCCATTAAAAAAGTCTTAAAATTTTGGAAAATTGTATTAAAGAAATATATGCTAACTCTAAGAATTGAAGATCCGCTGAAAAAAGTGATATCAGATTTAGATGATGAACATCTGTTATTTCTTTCTAATTTTGAGAAAATGACAAAAAGAATAGAAGGAAATCAAGGAAAAAGAATGAAATCATTAACAAGAGAAACTAGTTTAGCCATTGAACATACATGCAATGGCTTAATTGGTGTTTGCAGATATTTGCTAAACAATGGGTTTAAATTTGTTATGAATGGTGAATTTACCAAAGACAATTTGGAAAATTAATACAAAATTCTGGCGGTGCATATTTTATAACAGTTCAAAATGTTATTGAAAAATTTAGATATTGAAAAAATTAAAACTGCTTCTTAAATTAAATGTTGAAGTCAAAGAATACAACTTTGATCCAGGCTATAATTGCCCAAAATATGGACATTTAATGAATGAAATGGTATGCCAAACATTTGATAATTTACTAGACCTTAAAACTAGAATCCCTAATCCCAAATTAAAATATCACTTTTCTGTATGGCAGGCTATAATACAAGAAAAGATTGTCCCACAGAAGAGGAAATATTTAATAATATTAGTTTTTATTTTCAAGAATAGGAACATTTTTGAAAGAATTAGATTGTGGTAATTTAAAAATTCTACTGGATATGACAGGGATAGCAGATATTTTATATTTTTAATTTTCCCTCTTTTTACAAATATGCAATTGGTTAACTCCCCAAATTATCCTGTTAATTAATTTTGTGTTCTTGTTAATGTAAAATGATTTTAATTAAAACTATGCTTACTGGTAATATCTATTATTGTATCATAGCATAATAAATATTTTCTTCATTTTCTGTGAAACAAAATGTACATATGACAAAAATCACAAATTTTGTAAAGATTATAAAAAATTTTTTCTCTGAAATTCACATCTTTTGTAAAGTATTTTCAGACTTTGTTGATACACAATTTTGTAAGATGCTGAAATTGCTTTCTGATTATATTATACAATTATATATTCTGTAATAAATTAACGTAAACAAATTAACTCATTATTTTTGCAATATTATCTAAAAAATTTCTAATTTAAGGTGAATAAAGCGATTTTTGTGCATTTAGTTATTTTATGGTATTTTTGTTCTTTTGCATTTATGGAAATAAGTCAATAATTTTAAAATGCTTCCTAATAATTAATTAACTAATTACTGAACACTACTAACAAGTTTCTTGCTAAAAATGTACTCTGGAATTGTTATTTAGTAGTAATTTAGGCTTCCACATCTCCGCCCCCAGTCATCAACTCCAGGTGCATGGTTGCAAGGCCTGGTATATGGATCGCCTTGATCTCAATACATTGTTTTAAGACTTTTGTTTCTTTGCATCATGCTATTAAAACTTTCTAACAATTGCTATAATTTTTGATGGTATGAGTACACTAGTATTTATATCTTTTGTACTCTGTTTCATTTAACCTCATGGTTGTGTGTGGGGGTGAAATCTAATGTTTTTTTTCTGACGTTGTTCAGATTAAAAAGCAAGGTTTGTTTTTTTTTATTTTTGTATTTTTTATTTTTTTACTGAAAGCCTTTTGACACACAAACACTCAAATCTAGTCACCCCCACTATTACCCCTCCCCTTGCATAGCTAAATCATGTGACAAGAAATGGTGACAAAATGTTGATAACTCATGTTTGTTGGAAACAATTTCAAGTCACTCAAGGTGACATCATTTAAACGGTCAAAATGAAATTTTTATGACTGGTTTTTGTTTTTTTTAAACACACTTCAAGATTATGATCCTCTATGGAGAAAGATATATATATATATATATATATATATATATATATATATATATATATTATTACACAGCATTATAGTGAATACTCATATTTGACATCTGAAATAAAAATAAATGTCTGATTAGAAATAAATCCATTAATTCTTTATATACGAATATAATGAGAATGCAAATAACGTATAAATTCTAATATTCACAGTATTAATTCAAAAGTGGGCACAATACCGATATTAGAGCAATAATTATTATAATTTTTTCATATTGTTTTATCTATATGAAAAAATTATATATATATATATATATATATATATTTTGACTTTGATTTTTTTTTATGTTGTGTTTGTATGTTCACAATGTAATGTAATGTCAAACTGTAATATTGTTTTATGTATAATTATATACATATATATTTTGTAGGTACAATGTTATTTTAACAGCTGAAACAATTTATAATACAAAGAATTATTCAAAACTCCTTGATTTATTAGACTTTCTTTTGGAAGACAATGGAGATATGTATCCTTTTTTTTTAAATGTTCCGAAACAGTTTTTACAATTGGGATCATTTATTAATTAATTAAGGAATAATCATAATGAACAACCTGTGCATTTCTTCAGTCCTTCTGTCATAATATTTGAAGATATTTAACCAACTGTACTCACCTTTAAATTACCTTACATTGGATTTTAAGTGCTTTTTTACTTAAAGCTTACAAAAATGATGAAACAAATTTTAAAACAAAAGCCAACATGAAATAATGAACTCAAGATTAGCTTCACCTGAAAGAAGCTTAGAAATTTTGAGTTATTTTGTTTTTCTTATTTAGTTGCTACAGTACAATGGATTACAGAAGTTTACTGTTTGAATAATATTTGTTTGTTTTTAATACCATATCCTTGCAGAATGTAGGTGATCACGACTCTTCATGGCTTTCTTTTTTTTTAAATGTTCCTTCAGGTTGTAGATGATCATGACTAACTCCTATTTTTTTCTTTTTTTTTTTTTTTCTTTTTTAATCGAGATTACTGAGCAAGGCAGTAAAGCCACTAAAACACAAAGGCTTACTGGATGTGAAAGAATTAGAAAAGAGAAACATTATTGAGGAGCAAAGCACAATAGAAGAGTAATCAGGAAGAGAGTAGATAACGATTGACATTGCATTTAAATTCTTGAAGATCAAACTTGACTGGAAAGAAAAAAAACAGAAGAGAGTTCCACAGGCGAGAAGTGCAAGTGAAGAAACTGTTAGCATAGAATTTACAGTTACATCTCGCCAGTTCAACTGTAAAATGATGAGCTGTTGCTGCTAATCTAGTACTGTGTTTAAATTCAGAAAATCTAGCTACCATAGCAAAGAGCTCATTTGAACAATTACCATAAAAGTATTTATAGAAAAGGTACAGAGAAAGTGACTGAAGCTGAGATTCTAGGTCAAGACCAATAATTTTGCTGATTCTTCTTTGGATTTTATCAAGAATCTCTAAATATATAACAGGAGAACTCCAGTGATAGCAATATTCTATGCATGGATGAATGATAGTCTTAGAGATATGTAAGAGAGAGAAGAATTGTCTAGCATGACAGACTGAACCAACTTTTTTTAGCAACAGACTGAACAATGGATTCAATATAATCTTTCCACTTCATGTCAGCCAAGAATGTCATTCTCCTAGAGGTTAGCATCAGCCATACTGATGGAAAGCAGAAAGGAGTCTCTCAGATGATTAATAGAGAGCAGTTTTGTTTTTGGAGGCATCAAAATTTACAAGCTATCCTTTGCCCCAGTTAACAACAGACTGTAGGTTATTTTTGAGATCAGTCACCAATTTGACCATAACAATTTGATCAGACCATAGTGAATAAAACAGCAACTTACCTTGTCAAACTAAGCGACGACACGTCATGTATATCCTACGATGGAAAATGTGGCGAAAAAGAAAATTACTTACAAAAATGGGCACGTATTCCGCATGACATGCTGAAGATGGAATATTTAAATTAAAAACAAGTCCGTTGCAGGAGTACTATAAAAGTATTTTGATATGCAAAAATTGGGGGTCCTCTCCCAGTTGTCAATGAATTAAAAAAATGCTCTACCGATAAAAGCAGTTGGCGTTCTCAAATTGGGGTATTTTGGCTACTGTGTTTGTCGAAGAGTGAGTTATTTTTCTGACTGGTTGCGTGCATTGTGAGATAGTACCTGCAAATTGAGTTTTCGTCATTTCTTTCTGCCCCTGATGTTCAAGTCTGAACTTAGTGATTTATTCTCTGCGTTGTGGAAGTAATCTGCAACAAATATTTCCTTTGTAATCCCAGATTGCTTACACAGACTTATTATCAAGGCAGGAGTAAATGGTTGTGCCCACCTTTTAACCTAATTTTTCTTGTCTTAGACTGATTCCTCATCAAGGTTAGGGATGATATTTATTTTGTTATTTAAATTATAGCTGAAGGATATGAGATAGATTCATGCCTTTCCCAAGGGCATTAGCATAAGTGTAAAGGCAACAGACATAACCGATCATGGCTCTCCACAGCTTCCTTTTCTTTATTATCTGCGAATTGCCATGCACTTGGGAATGATACTGGAGTGTACACTATTTACATTATTCAGACTATTGTCCTCATCTTTGTTGCCATATTTATCACAGTGTTTCAGCCATTGTATGCTCTGGCCTTCTTCAGGTGGTTGGAATGTCAAACTGAACCCTTTATTTAGCTCACTGAGGTAAGCAATTCTAGTTCCATGTGCCATGTTTTAATGGATGTCAGTTATCAGTTATCTCCTGTTAATTCCCCTCTGCACGTTCTCCATTGCCTTAAACTGGGTATTGAACTCACCTTCTTTGGGTCCTCACTGGATCTAACCAGCACTTTATCCACTGTGCCATGTGTCCTTGAGGCAGTGGAGAACTTGCAGAGGGGAATTAACAGGAGATAACTGATAACTGGCATCCATTAAAACATGGCATATGGAACTAGAACAGTCTACCCCAGTGAGCGAAATAAAGGGTTCAGCTCGACATTCCAACTACCTGAAGAAGGCCGTAGCATACAATGGCCGAAATGTTGTGATAAATATGGCAACAAAGATGAGAACAATAGTCTGATTAATGTAAATAGTGTACATAATACCTCATCTCAGAAATATAGACAGATACTGATACTGGAGTGGTTTTCCATCGTTTACTTCACAGTTTGGAATTCAGAGTTTTTTCTTCTCTTAGGTAGGTTGCCTACCTAGGTTAGAGAGTGTAGTCTACCCTATTTATTCAATAGTTTGGGGGAAAACAGATGGATTCATGCCTATCCCAAAGACATTAGTGTGAAAGTGAATGCAACAGACTATCCTGGGATTTGAAGCCAGTTTGCTGATTTCCCTTTCTGCAATGACATCCATCACACTATTCCTTCATTCAATAATTGTTTTTAAATGGGCTGAACATCAGAGTTGGGGGTAACACTAAAGCAGACCTAGCAGCCAAATCGGGTTTAAATATGGCTGTAGACACAAGGACCAAAATCACATACACCAACTTTAAGGAAGTAATTAACAGGTATATTTAAAAAGAATGGCAACATTGCCAGGAGGATAAGCCACACAATAAACTCTTTGCAATTCAGACCAAACTAGGAGAATAGAAGTTGGCTTTTCTGAAAACTTTGAAAGGAAGAAGTTGTACTGGCCCACTTATGCATTGGCCACACAAGAACAACTCACTAGTATTGGCTAAACAAGGAAGGTCATCCAGTATGCCAAGCATATGAAATGACATACACTATTAAACGTATATTAATCGAGTGTTCAGACCGTGCTCTCTCAAGACAAAAATGCTATAATATAAACATGTATGAGGTCTTTGAGGAAGCAAAAATGGATGACATAATATTATTTCTTAAAACAGTGGACCTCAACTAAAAAATATAAATCAAATAAGTATGTCAATAAATTTAATTTCTCCACAAACTATATCTGAAAAGAATACATCAATGAAACCAGACACTTTACAAAAACCCTCTTTACAAAAATACGTCAATGAAACCTGATTTACAAACTGATTTCTTACAAAGAATACATATTCTATTCATATGAACTTATTCTGAAAATATTGTCGGCATTAAATAACCCATTGAGATGTTGATATGCCATAAAACAAAATAAACTTAAACCGTTAAATGGGCTGAAATGTTATTGAATTTATTTACGTTTGAACTAATGTCCTCAACTTTGTTGTTATTATTACTTCAGTTAACAGACACCTGATGGGTGGAGGTGGAGATCACAATGGGTGTAACATGATAACAACAGCAAAAATGAGGACATTAGTCTGAATGTAAATAATGATAACTCATCATCTCAGACAAATATTAGTGAATTTGTTTTCAGTGAGGTGAGCAAAACTTTTTTTTTCTCTCTATACTTTTTGAAAATTTGGTAATTTAAATGGGGGTGTACAGGTGGTATCATGTATATCGGTGTGCAAAGTGAAATTAGCCAAGTTCAAATTTTGGGCTAGTCTGTTGCATTCACTTTCATGTCCGTTCAGTAAGTCATGAAGCCAACTCTTCTTCTCCCACCTAGGGTTTAAATAGGAAGGTAGACTGGATTATCTAGCCTTGGGTGTCAGCCAGTCTAGGAGAAGGACTACTCTAAATTCAGGTGGAGAGAAGGCAATAGGAAACCACTCCACTATCTTTTCCATGAAGTTATGGTAATTCACAGATACTAAAGGAAAGGAATCTGTGGAGAGTCATAATCACCTATGTCCTGAAAGGACATGTCATTAATATATATATATATATATATATATATATAGTTTTAAGGAATGTTAAATTTATGGCTTGAAAATTGCATTCAAACATGAAACAGACTCTCGCCTGATGTTAACCTCAGTGTCTACAAATACACAAACTTTTCAAATTCTCATGTCATTAAGAACTACTGTTGTAGCAATTTTTTGTCAAGCTCTGAATTTATCTGTTGTGTAACCGATTCACAGCGCTCATTTCAATTTAAAAAAGAAATAACATTTTATTTAAGCTATTTTTGATGTTGTCACCCCCGACTTCAAAGTTTCTTGGAATTGTCCCTCCTTCAAGGAGACTGTTGTTTGAAGAATGGACAATTACAAGAAACCTTTAAGTTGGAGATAACATCAAAAATTGTTATTTACAATTAAGTAACTTTATATTATCAATGCTCTATTTTTAATATTAATATTATTTTAATATGGAGCACAATATGAAAATATCTGCTTTACTCTTGAACTATTATATTCTAAAATCTTATATACAGACACACACACACACACACATATATATATATATATATATATATATAATTTCACCAATGATAAAGCCACTAAAACTTAAGAGAGTTACTGAGTGTTAGAGAATATGAGAGAAAAGAAAACATTAAAGAGAGAGAACAATAAAAAAAAAAAAACCAGAAATTAAGAAGACAGAAGATATTGACATTGGATTTGCATTTTTGGACATCAAAGTTGGGAAGTAG